GACATAAACGGTCGAAAATAGCTTGACAAAATTTATGGACAACCCTTTAGCATTTGATTTAAAATGAAACTTGAAACAAAAAAACATACACGTTAATTTTTTTTAAACTTTTTCAAGATTTTCCTACTCCTTTTTCCATTCCGTGTGAGTTTGAATAAAAAAGTTCAACTGACGAAAACGTAAACAAACTTTTTTTTATTGCAGTAATTTATTACTGTAGTTAACACTTTTCTCGTCTACAACAAAGTATATAATAGAACAGAAACAAGATAGTAAAAGCTGTTTTTTCAGAAAAATTGAATGAATAGGCGTGTACAATGTACACACCTATTTATTAAATTTTTTACACTGTACATGTATATAAATATTTACATAAATAAATACTTAAAAATATAATCATAACAATGGTTTTGATTTTATTTATAGTTAAGGAATTAAATTATATAATTGAAGCTCAAAATTGAAAATTATGTTCTGACCAAGCATATAGCATAAAATGAAATATCCCGACCAAACGCAAGGATATATCAACAGAATACACAACTTCGATGCTTAATAACTTAAAGATAAAATATGATATTGAGATTTTTTTACAGCTACTAAGTACACCAGATCATTGGCTTTGCTATCCCACCATTATGAGGACGGGGCCTATTTAAATAGGCCCCGTCCTAATAAGCGAATTAAAATTTAGGGGCACTTATGGAAAATTTAAGGATCTTTGTTTTGCCTTTTTTTTAGTAATGCCTAGTGAAACATTTTTTAAGAAATAAAAAATTTTTAAAAAAGGTCGGGGACACCGAAACTCCCGAGACTCCCGGAGACTCCGGGAGTCTCGGGAGTTTCGGTGTCCCCGATACTCCATTTGTTTTTAAAAGTTACGATCTAAATGTATTTTAAATGTCTTTTTAACGTCTTTTAAACATTAATGTTTAAAAGACGTTTAAAAGACGTTTAAAACACATTTAGAACGTAACTTTTAAAAACAAATGCCCGTCGAGCGGAGTCTCGGGACGGAGTCTCCGTCCCGAGACTCCGTCAGCCACGGGACTGACGTACACATTAAAAAAAAAACTGAAAAGTTATTTTTTTAGTAAGCAGAATACAATAAAAACTGCTCAAAGTTGGAAATCAACTTCCCCTAACTACCTGTTAAATATCAGAAGTACTGTTAAATATCAGACTGTTAAATATCAGTACTGTTGAATATCAGAACTGCCACAGAACAGAAAATAACAGAATAATCAGGTACTGTTAAATATCAGAAGAAAGATCGCCGTGAGTATGGTTTTAAAACTTTTATTTAATTTTTGTTTAATAAAAAGAATTTCCAAAAAAATTCTATTTTATATTTGACAGTATGCATTTTGTTCTTTGTAAATATAGTGAATAATTTTTTTATTAGAAAGTAAATAACAAAAACCGAAAAAATAATAAAGAATGTAAACTTTATCTGAGTGATAATTTTAATATAAGGTTTGTTAAATTAAAGTTGTAACTTTTATAGTAAATCTAATTTTCAATTTTCAATCAAGTGATATAATCTCTATTCAAAAAGTTCTTAACAAAAGAAACTAAAAGTTTTCCTTCCATTTTTTACTAATTTGGTTACATTAGTGGCTGAAAACTGTTATAAATATTATAAAAGTTGAATAACCTATCGAATAACATTAGGGCACTAACAAATCTCATAAAAAATTTTGTTATTTTTTTGTTATTTTTTTTTTTTTTTGTTATTTTTTTTTTTTTTTTTTTTATGAGGGTATTATATGTAGATAATTAAAAGATATTATTTGCATACATAATATTTATATAAAATTTTTGTAATATTCATATTTGAAATATATATGCAAATTAAAGTATTATGTACTCATTAACATATTCATTAAATTTGCATGTATAAATTTAATACTTTATACTTAATACATTTATTTTACATTTTTTCCATATAAAATTGTGTTGTATGTGGACCAACCTGCCCTTAGCCAACCTACCCTAATTACAGGCTATGTTAGTCCAGCTGACATGACTTAATAAAAGCAGTTATAAATGTGTTGAAAACTTCTGAACTTTTGATAATGTTATTTTTTGATAGTCTAGGGTCTCTTTGATTTTTTTCTTTGAAAGTGTAAAATAAAGCATGAAAAGCTAAAAAGTAACCCCACAAAAAATGTTGGACAACATTTGGAATAGATGCATATTTTTATTTTAAACTAAAAGAATAAGAAACTATTAGAATAAGCTATTAAATGCTTATAAATTTTTTTATCTGCTATCACTGTTGAAATTTTACCAATTTATCAGACTTTTGATTATGAGTACTCCTTTTTCGTAAGTTTCACATTTCTTTTTAAAACATAAATAATGCCACCTTATCTAGAAAGGGTAAGTTAAGCAGCTATAAAAAAAATAAATAAGCTGAACTATCAAACTTTAATAAGAAAGAATTTTGCAGTACATTATATAAATATTTTTGAAATTAGTAATTTTTTAATTAGGCTTTAAAGTTCAAGATAATTGTATATAATAATATTTTTATACTTTTTTTCTATTTAATTTTTTCTCTTCTTTTACTTATGTCATTAAGGTTTATAAGATAAAAATTTATAAATTACCAACACATTTACTGTTAGCCATAGTTTGGTTGACAATTTATTTTAGTAAAAATTGCTTTCTAAAACTAAACATGCTCTACTATGAGTTAAAAGTTGTATGAAAAAACACTATGGTCAGCATTAGCATGATAATTATTTACCTGCTACAGCTCATTGTCTACTGACAAAGAGCTAAAGGGTTGCAACCCCTTATGTTAAAAAATAGATAAATTCACCACAGTTGCAATCAAAATAGCAATTTTTATTGGTAACGTTCAAAATAGCAATTTTTATTGGTAACAATCAAAATAGCAATTTTTATTGGTAACGTTTTTTTATGTTACTTTTTTTATTAGTCATGCTAATAATTGTAATTTTTATTATTCTGATAGTTATAATATTAGTATATTAGTTATTTTATGCTTGACTTGATGTAATTGTGTAAAGTTAATAAACTTCTTCTTAGATATAACCGATGCATCAACAAGACATTGCACTGCTTTAACATTTAACATTATACACAGTTCTTGTTATTAATGTAGAAAAAAAAATTCTTTTGACATTTTAGCAGTTGTTTTTAACACTTTTTCATAAAGTTTTGCCAAACTATTTGATTTATACTTGGAAAAATAAACCTTTGTTTAAAAACTGATTTGACTATATAAAGTCATATCTTGGTACCACAGTTTCTTTATATGTGAGCCCGCTTGCATCTGGTACAGTAATCAAGAAATGCTTATCAGTTAGAAGAAAGCTAAATTACTTCCTTTTAGTATTGTGAATGCTTTAAGACATGTTGTTATTTTATCACTGTCACTCTTAATTTAGTATCTAGAATTTCAAAAAATGGAAAAACAAGGACAATCACACCTAATTATTGAATGCAATATATACTATAATTTTTGATAAATGGACTTATGATATATATATATATATATATATATATATATATATATATATATATATATATATATATATATATATATATATACATTTTTACTTTACATATCGTGGTAAATTGAGACCAATTAACCCTCCATCAGTGTTTTAAAATATCTCTAAAAGTTGTCTATCCTCTCCACCATCAAAAAAGAGAAAAGCTTTATCTTCTTCAAAAAGAATTCAAAAAGAGGTATCAAAAAGATAAATTGGAAGAGTATCAAATAATTGATAAATAAAAACTTGAAGATATTGAAAAAAACTTATCTACAGAAAGTTATATAATTACTTACAAGCAAAACAATTCTATTTTTATCCAGTCTAAAGTTTTTAATTGCGGAGTTCCACTATTTTTTGTTGATAGTTAATCAAAGTTTAATGTTTGAAGGATTTCATTATGGATCAAAATGTACTGGTAAATCTCTTTCAAAAAACAGAAACAAAGCCAGCTTTAAATGAAACTCTTATATATCTAAAAGTTAAAGATAAGGAACACAAAACCCAAATATTATTTTAACATCTAATTGTAATGGGAGATTATTCTCTTGGCTTTACTATTTATTCTCCTAATATAGTAACAAGGGCTTTTGAATATTTTCCAAAAAGTCGTTCCACATACAATTGTGTTGCAATTATCCGTTACCAAGTATTCAAACTTTAATTCGTATAACTTCAAAAATAAATTCTCAAGATGATTTAGTTTTTTAAGTTCTATGCTATTAAACCTTGAGAAAAAATAAAAAAATTGCGTTTTATTGATAGATGAAGTTTATGTAAAAGCTGCTTTATTATATCAAAGCAGAAATGTTTTTGGAAAAGCTGTTAGTTATCCAGAAAAATTAGCTTCTACTGTATTTTCATTTATGGTCAATAATCATTATAGTGGACCTGAATTTTCAGCAAGAGTTTTACCAGTTAGTAATCTAACATCAGATTTCCTACTAGACTAATGCAAATAAATTGTAGACAACTTATAAGTATCACCGTAGAAAGTTCTTTGTGTAATGATAAAGTAGTTGCAATTGTTACTGATGGTAATAAACCAAAACTTTTTTTTAAATTCAAAACAGTATATGGAAAGCCTTGGTTATGTCAAAATAGAACTTTTATATGACCATCTTTTGAAGTGCATAAGAAATAATTTCAGTTAAAGATTATACACTGCTTCTGGTAAGTAAATCATTAGCGTAACTTTTAATAAATGGAGCTGACAGATTTTGCAGTTTTTTTGTAATAAAATATCTTACATTGCAAATTAGAGAGATTTAGTTAACTTAGATAACTTTAATAATTGGTTTTCAAGTGTATATAAGTGAACTAAATCTCTCTAATTTGCAATGTAAGATATTTCATTATAAATAAACTACAACTGACCTGTCAATGTCTAAATTCAAACTGCAAAATCTGTCAGCTCCATTTATTAAAAGTTACGCTAATGATTTACTTACCAGAAGCAGTGTATAATCTTTAACTGAAATTATTTCTTATGCACTTCAAAAGATGGTCATATAAAAGTTCTATTTTGACATAACCAATAGATAACTTTAATAATTGGTTTTCAAGTGTATATAAGTTGACTGAAACATCAATAAATCCTAAACCAATAGAACAGAAAAAAGTAAGCGCTAGTATTTACTGAATTATTATTACAATTGTGATAAGTATTGCAAGTATTTACTGAAGAGACAGTTGCAGCTCTAAAAACTCATCCTAAAATAGACAAAGAATGTGTCAAGGGTACTATTATTTTTGGAGTTGATTATAGATTTTTGGAAAATAGTGAATGTTAAATATCTGAATGCAAGTCTTAGATATAAAGATGAGTCCTGTAATGTAATCAGATCTTCATATAACATTTACTTAAAAAAATGGCTTGCTGTTGCAACAATGGCTGAAAATATAAAATCAATATCTGGTAAACAAGTTTGCCAGCTTACAAAAGATACAAGCAATTCACTTTGTCATACTTGTCATGGCCTAATTGATTTATGTTGCTATTTTTTATCAAATGGAAATAAATATATAACTTTAGGTTGGTTTTTTTCTGATCTGATTGAAAAATGATTTGGACAATTAGGTCAAAGATCAGAGTTTGCAGAACATTTCTGATTCGACGGTTTATATTTATTGCAGAGTTGTACAGATTCTCTATTTCAAAGAAACAATGCCAAACAATGACAAACATTTTTAAAGAACTTTGCATTACTTCACACTTCCAAAAGTAATAAACTAAACTCAAAGAAATTAAGTTGATTATTGTTTTTTTCCTATTTAGTACAAAAACTTTGTTATTGTTTATTTTTTTCATTACTTATTATTTCTTTTAAATTAAAAATCTTAATTAAAAATGTTTTATTTAACTTTACAAGCATTTTAAAAGTGATTAAAAAGTTCTCAATAAACTATTTATGCAATTCGAAATTAAGAACTTTCTCAAACAGTCTATATAACTTTTACTCTTCCGCCATTTTTTTTTTAATTAGCTTTCAGTCAAAAAATTTCCTGTACGGTGTCGACGCCTTCTACAAAGAAGACCTTGTTTAAGAAAAATAAATTATAAAAAATGTTATATAATATTTTTTTGATTTGATCTAACATTCGGTCTAGATTATAGGCTCCTATGGTCTGTAGGCATGTTTTTGCGCAAGTATAAAGTATTTAGTTTTAGAATGATATTATTATAATTTATTAATTAGAACAATTTTATTTATTTTGTTTTATTTAAAACGCATTGAATTTTTATGTTATTAAGATTATAAACTGTATAAAACAGCTTCACAAAAATGTTTTACATAACACAAGTTTGCTAACTGCTTGTTACACTATAACTACGATTTAAATTTTAAATTATAACATAAACAGTAAATTATAGCAGTAACTAACACGATTAAATTTTTTTGTACTAATTAAACTCCTAATATATAAATATGAATATATATATATATATATATATATATATATATATATATATATATATATATATATATATATATATATATATATTCATATTTATATATTACGGGTATATATATATATATATATATATATATATATATATATATATATATATATATATATATATATATATATATATATATATATATATATATATATATATATATAAATATATATATATATATACACACACATAATTAACTGAATAAGGTAAGATACTATACCTTCTTTATTGTATAAACATTGATTGCAAGATTGACTAAAAACTAAACTTTGAGGCCAGCAAGATTGACAAGAAGCAATTCCATTAGAACACTGAACAAAATCATGGGGATATCCTAGAATTTCATAATTTCCATCAGTCAAGCCTTGACAAAGTTTCTGAGGGCCTAAAACATTTTAATTTTCAATCATTAATTAACAAATTCATTCAAGTTAAAACTATAATATTAAAAGAAAATAAATTACATGGAGGCGCTATTGGTGTAGGAGCAATTTTAGATGAAAATTTTAGAGTTGTTGTTTGTAGTTTAACTGTTGTTTCTTGTCTTGGTGATGCTGTGTTTGTGCTTGTTTGAACTTCAGATGGAGTAGTTTCAACTGTGTCCGTAGCTGCTGAAGTGCTTACAATAGTTGTTGTTTCTTCTATTTGTGATGCTGTGTTTGTGCTTGTTTGAACTTCAGATGGAGTAGTTTCAACTGTTTCTGTAGCTGCTGAAGTACTTACAATAGTTGTTGTTTCTTCTATTATTAATGCTGTGTTTGTGCTTGTTTGAACTTCAGATGGAGTAGTTTCAACTGTTTCTGTAGCTGCTGCAGTGCTTACAATAGTTGTTGTTTCTTCTATTTGTGATGCTGTGTTTGTGCTTGTTTGAACTTCAAATAGAGTAGTTTCAACTGTTTCTGTAGCTGCTGTAGTACTAACAATAGTTGTTGTTTCTTCTATTGGTGATGCTGTGTTTGTGCTTATTTCAACTTCAGATGGAGTAGTTTCAACAGTGTCTATAGCTGCTGTAGTGCTTACAATAGTTGTTATTTTTTCAATTGGTGATGCTGTGTTTGTGCTTGTTTGAACTTCAGATGGAGTAGTTTCAACTGTTTCTGTAGCTGCTGATGTACTTACGATAGTTGTTGTTTCTTTTATTGGTGATGCTCTATTTGTGGTTGTTTGAACTTCAAATAGAGTAGTTTCAACTGTGTCTGTAACTGCATCAGTACTGGGTAATGTTGTTGTTTCTTCTATTGGTGATGCTGTGTTTGTGCTTGTTTGAACTTCAGATGGAGTAGTTTCAACAGTGTCTGTAGCTGCTGCAGTGCTTACAATAGTTGTTGTTTCTTCTATTTGTGATATTGCGTTTGTGCTTGTTTGAACTTCAGATGGAGTAGTTTCAACTGTTTCTGTAGCTGCTGAAGTACTTACAATAATTGTTGTTTCTTCAATTGGTGATGCTGTGTTTGTGCTTGTTTGAACTTCAGATGGAGTAGTTTCAACTGTGTCTGTAGCTGCTGCAGTGCTTACAATAGTTGTTGTTTCTTCTATTTGTGATGCTGTGTTTGTGCTTGTTTGAACTTCAGATGGAGTAGTTTTAACAGTGTCTATAGCTGCTGTAGTGCTTACAATAGTTGTTGTTTCTTCTATTGGTGATGCTGTGTTTGTGCTTGTTTGAACTTCAGATGGAGTAGTTTTAACAGTGTCTATAGCTGCTGTAGTGCTTACAATAGTTGTTGTTTCTTCTATTTGTGATGCTGTGTTTGTGCTTGTTTGAACTTCAGATGGAGTAGTTTCAACTGTTTCTGTAGCTGCTGCAGTACTTACAATAGTTGTTGTTTCTTCTATTGCTGATGCTGTGTTTGTGCTTGTTTGAACTTCAGATGGAGTAGTTTCAATTGTTTCTGTAGCTGCTGTAGTACTTACAATAGTTGTTGTTTCTTCTATTGGTGATGCTGTGTTTGTGCTTGTTTGAACTTCAGATGGTGTAGTTTCAACTGTGTCTGTAACTGCATCAGTACTGGGTAATGTTGTTGTTTCTTCTATTGGTGATGCTGTATTTGTGGTTGTTTGAACTTCAAATGGAGTAGTTTCAACTGTGTCTGTAACTGCATCAGTATTGGGTAATGTTGTTGTTTCTTCTATTGGTGATGCTGTGTTTGTGCTTGTTTGAACTTCAGATGGAGTAGTTTCAACAGTGCCTATAGCTGCTGTAGTGCTTACAACAGTTGTTATTTTTTCAATTGGTAATGCTGTGTTTGTGCTTGTTTGAACTTCAGATGGAGTAGTTTCAACTGTTTCTGTAGCTGCTGCAGTACTTACAATAGTTGTTGTTTCTTCTATTGCTGATGCTGTGTTTGTGCTTGTTTGAACCTCAGATGGAGTAGTTTCAACTGTTTCTGAAGCTGCTGAAGTACTTACAATAGTTGTTGTTTCTTCTATTGGTGATGTTGTATTTGTGGTTGTTTGAACTTCAGATGGAGTAGTTTCAACTGTGTCTGTAGCTGCTGAAGTACTCACAATAGTTGTTGTTTCTTCTATTGGTGATGCTGTGTTTGTGGTTCTTTGAACTTCAGATGGAGTAGTTTCAACTGTGTCTGTAGCTGCTGCAGTGCTTACAATAGTTGTTGTTTCTTCTATTTGTGATGCTGTGTTTGTGCTTGTTTGAACTTCAGATGGAGTAGTTTCAACTGTTTCTGTAGCTGCTGTAGTACTAACAATAGTTGTTGTTTCTTCTATTGGTGATGCTGTGTTTGTGCTTATTTCAACTTCAGATGGAGTAGTTTCAACAGTGTCTATAGCTGCTGTAGTGCTTACAATAGTTGTTATTTTTTCAATTGGTGATGCTGTGTTTGTGCTTGTTTGAACTTCAGATGGAGTAGTTTCAACTGTTTCTGTAGCTGCTGATGTACTTACGATAGTTGTTGTTTCTTTTATTGGTGATGCTCTATTTGTGGTTGTTTGAACTTCAAATAGAGTAGTTTCAACTGTGTCTGTAACTGCATCAGTACTGGGTAATGTTGTTGTTTCTTCTATTGGTGATGCTGTGTTTGTGCTTGTTTGAACTTCAGATGGAGTAGTTTCAACAGTGTCTGTAGCTGCTGCAGTGCTTACAATAGTTGTTGTTTCTTCTATTTGTGATATTGCGTTTGTGCTTGTTTGAACTTCAGATGGAGTAGTTTCAACTGTTTCTGTAGCTGCTGAAGTACTTACAATAATTGTTGTTTCTTCAATTGGTGATGCTGTGTTTGTGCTTGTTTGAACTTCAGATGGAGTAGTTTCAACTGTGTCTGTAGCTGCTGCAGTGCTTACAATAGTTGTTGTTTCTTCTATTTGTGATGCTGTGTTTGTGCTTGTTTGAACTTCAGATGGAGTAGTTTTAACAGTGTCTATAGCTGCTGTAGTGCTTACAATAGTTGTTGTTTCTTCTATTGGTGATGCTGTGTTTGTGCTTGTTTGAACTTCAGATGGAGTAGTTTTAACAGTGTCTATAGCTGCTGTAGTGCTTACAATAGTTGTTGTTTCTTCTATTTGTGATGCTGTGTTTGTGCTTGTTTGAACTTCAGATGGAGTAGTTTCAACTGTTTCTGTAGCTGCTGCAGTACTTACAATAGTTGTTGTTTCTTCTATTGCTGATGCTGTGTTTGTGCTTGTTTGAACTTCAGATGGAGTAGTTTCAATTGTTTCTGTAGCTGCTGTAGTACTTACAATAGTTGTTGTTTCTTCTATTGGTGATGCTGTGTTTGTGCTTGTTTGAACTTCAGATGGTGTAGTTTCAACTGTGTCTGTAACTGCATCAGTACTGGGTAATGTTGTTGTTTCTTCTATTGGTGATGCTGTATTTGTGGTTGTTTGAACTTCAAATGGAGTAGTTTCAACTGTGTCTGTAACTGCATCAGTATTGGGTAATGTTGTTGTTTCTTCTATTGGTGATGCTGTGTTTGTGCTTGTTTGAACTTCAGATGGAGTAGTTTCAACAGTGCCTATAGCTGCTGTAGTGCTTACAACAGTTGTTATTTTTTCAATTGGTAATGCTGTGTTTGTGCTTGTTTGAACTTCAGATGGAGTAGTTTCAACTGTTTCTGTAGCTGCTGCAGTACTTACAATAGTTGTTGTTTCTTCTATTGGTGATGCTGTGTTTGTGCTTGTTTGAACTTCAGATGGAGTAGTTTGAACTGTTTCTGTAGCTGCTGAAGTACTTGCAATAGTTGTTGTTTCTTCTATTGGTGATGCTGTATTTGTGGTTGTTTGAACTTCAGATGGAGTAGTTTCAACTGTTTCTGTAGCTGCTGCAGTACTTACAATAAATGTTGTTTCTTCTATTGGTGATGCTGTATTTGTGGTTGTGTGAACTTCAGATGGAGTAGTTTCAACTGTGTCTGTAGCTGCTGCAGTGCTTACAATAGTTGTTGTTTCTTCTATTTGTGATGCTGTGTTTGTGCTTGTTTGAACTTCAGTTGGAGTAGTTTCAACTGTTTCTGTAGCTGCTGAAGTACTTACAATAGTTGTTGTTTCTTCTATTGGTGATGCTGTGTTTGTGCTTGTTTGAACTTCAGATGGAGTAGTTTCAACTGTTTCTGTAGCTGCTGCAGTACTTACAATAGTTGTTGTTTCTTCTATTGCTGATGCTGTGTTTGTGCTTGTTTGAACTTCAGATGGAGTAGTTTCAATTGTTTCTGTAGCTGCTGTAGTACTTACAATAGTTGTTGTTTCTTCTATTGGTGATGCTGTGTTTGTGCTTGTTTGAACTTCAGATGGTGTAGTTTCAACTGTGTCTGTAACTGCATCAGTACTGGGTAATGTTGTTGTTTCTTCTATTGGTGATGCTGTATTTGTGGTTGTTTGAACTTCAAATGGAGTAGTTTCAACTGTGTCTGTAACTGCATCAGTATTGGGTAATGTTGTTGTTTCTTCTATTGGTGATGCTGTGTTTGTGCTTGTTTGAACTTCAGATGGAGTAGTTTCAACTGTTTCTGTAGCTGCTGCAGTACTTACAATAGTTGTTGTTTCTTCTATTGCTGATGCTGTGTTTGTGCTTGTTTGAACCTCAGATGGAGTAGTTTCAACTGTTTCTGAAGCTGCTGAAGTACTTACAATAGTTGTTGTTTCTTCTATTGGTGATGTTGTATTTGTGGTTGTTTGAACTTCAGATGGAGTAGTTTCAACTGTGTCTGTAGCTGCTGAAGTACTCACAATAGTTGTTGTTTCTTCTATTGGTGATGCTGTGTTTGTGGTTCTTTGAACTTCAGATGGAGTAGTTTCAACTGTGTCTGTAGCTGCTGCAGTGCTTACAATAGTTGTTGTTTCTTCTATTTGTGATGCTGTGTTTGTGCTTGTTTGAACTTCAGATGGAGTAGTTTCAACTGTTTCTGTAGCTGCTGTAGTACTAACAATAGTTGTTGTTTCTTCTATTGGTGATGCTGTGTTTGTGCTTATTTCAACTTCAGATGGAGTAGTTTCAACAGTGTCTATAGCTGCTGTAGTGCTTACAATAGTTGTTATTTTTTCAATTGGTGATGCTGTGTTTGTGCTTGTTTGAACTTCAGATGGAGTAGTTTCAACTGTTTCTGTAGCTGCTGATGTACTTACGATAGTTGTTGTTTCTTTTATTGGTGATGCTCTATTTGTGGTTGTTTGAACTTCAAATAGAGTAGTTTCAACTGTGTCTGTAACTGCATCAGTACTGGGTAATGTTGTTGTTTCTTCTATTGGTGATGCTGTGTTTGTGCTTGTTTGAACTTCAGATGGAGTAGTTTCAACAGTGTCTGTAGCTGCTGCAGTGCTTACAATAGTTGTTGTTTCTTCTATTTGTGATATTGCGTTTGTGCTTGTTTGAACTTCAGATGGAGTAGTTTCAACTGTTTCTGTAGCTGCTGAAGTACTTACAATAATTGTTGTTTCTTCAATTGGTGATGCTGTGTTTGTGCTTGTTTGAACTTCAGATGGAGTAGTTTCAACTGTGTCTGTAGCTGCTGCAGTGCTTACAATAGTTGTTGTTTCTTCTATTTGTGATGCTGTGTTTGTGCTTGTTTGAACTTCAGATGGAGTAGTTTTAACAGTGTCTATAGCTGCTGTAGTGCTTACAATAGTTGTTGTTTCTTCTATTGGTGATGCTGTGTTTGTGCTTGTTTGAACTTCAGATGGAGTAGTTTTAACAGTGTCTATAGCTGCTGTAGTGCTTACAATAGTTGTTGTTTCTTCTATTTGTGATGCTGTGTTTGTGCTTGTTTGAACTTCAGATGGAGTAGTTTCAACTGTTTCTGTAGCTGCTGCAGTACTTACAATAGTTGTTGTTTCTTCTATTGCTGATGCTGTGTTTGTGCTTGTTTGAACTTCAGATGGAGTAGTTTCAATTGTTTCTGTAGCTGCTGTAGTACTTACAATAGTTGTTGTTTCTTCTATTGGTGATGCTGTGTTTGTGCTTGTTTGAACTTCAGATGGTGTAGTTTCAACTGTGTCTGTAACTGCATCAGTACTGGGTAATGTTGTTGTTTCTTCTATTGGTGATGCTGTATTTGTGGTTGTTTGAACTTCAAATGGAGTAGTTTCAACTGTGTCTGTATCTGCATCAGTATTGGGTAATGTTGTTGTTTCTTCTATTGGTGATGCTGTGTTTGTGCTTGTTTGAACTTCAGATGGAGTAGTTTCAACAGTGCCTATAGCTGCTGTAGTGCTTACAACAGTTGTTATTTTTTCAATTGGTAATGCTGTGTTTGTGCTTGTTTGAACTTCAGATGGAGTAGTTTCAACTGTTTCTGTAGCTGCTGCAGTACTTACAATAGTTGTTGTTTCTTCTATTGGTGATGCTGTGTTTGTGCTTGTTTGAACTTCAGATGGAGTAGTTTGAACTGTTTCTGTAGCTGCTGAAGTACTTGCAATAGTTGTTGTTTCTTCTATTGGTGATGCTCTATTTGTGGTTGTTTGAACTTCAGATGGAGTAGTTTCAACTGTTTCTGTAGCTGCTGCAGTACTTACAATAAATGTTGTTTCTTCTATTGGTGATGCTGTATTTGTGGTTGTGTGAACTTCAGATGGAGTAGTTTCAACTGTGTCTGTAGCTGCTGCAGTGCTTACAATAGTTGTTGTTTCTTCTATTTGTGATGCTGTGTTTGTGCTTGTTTGAACTTCAGTTGGAGTAGTTTCAACTGTTTCTGTAGCTGCTGAAGTACTTACAATAGTTGTTGTTTCTTCTATTGGTGATGCTGTGTTTGTGCTTGTTTGAACTTCAGATGGAGTAGTTTTAACAGTGTCTGTAGCTGCTGTAGTGCTTACAATAGTTGTTGTTTCTTCTATTTGTGATGCTGTGTTTGTGCTTGTTTGAACTTCAGATGGAGTAGTTTCAATTGTTTCTGTAGCTGCTGTAGTACTTACAATAGTTGTTGTTTCTTCTATTGCTGATGCTGTGTTTGTGCTTGTTTGAACTTCAGATGGTGTAGTTTCAACTGTGTCTGTAACTGCATCAGTACTGGGTAATGTTGTTGTTTCTTCTATTGGTGATGCTGTATTTGTGATTGTTTGAACTTCAAATGGAGTAGTTTCAACTGTGTCTGTAACTGCATCAGTATTGGGTAATGTTGTTGTTTCTTCTATTGGTGATGCTGTGTTTGTGCTTGTTTGAACTTCAGATGGAGTAGTTTCAACAGTGCCTATAGCTGCTGTAGTGCTTACAACAGTTGTTATTTTTTCAATTGGTAATGCTGTGTTTGTGCTTGTTTGAACTTCAGATGGAGTAGTTTCAACTGTTTCTGTAGCTGCTGCAGTACTTACAATAGTTGTTGTTTCTTCTATTGGTGATGCTGTGTTTGTGCTTGTTTGAACTTCAGATGGAGTAGTTTGAACTGTTTCTGTAGCTGCTGAAGTACTTGCAATAGTTGTTGTTTCTTCTATTGGTGATGCTGTATTTGTGGTTGTTTGAACTTCAGATGGAGTAGTTTCAACTGTTTCTGTAGCTGCTGCAGTACTTACAATAGTTGTTGTTTCTTCTATTGGTGATGCTGTATTTGTGGTTGTGTGAACTTCAGATGGAGTAGTTTCAACTGTGTCTGTAGCTGCTGCAGTGCTTACAATAGTTGTTGTTTCTTCTATTTGTGATGCTGTGTTTGTGCTTGTTTGAACTTCAGTTGGAGTAGTTTCAACTGTTTCTGTAGCTGCTGAAGTACTTACAATAGTTGTTGTTTCTTCTATTGGTGATGCTGTGTTTGTGCTTGTTTGAACTTCAGATGGAGTAGTTTTAACAGTGTCTGTAGCTGCTGTAGTGCTTACAATAGTTGTTGTTTCTTCTATTTGTGATGCTGTGTTTGTGCTTGTTTGAACTTCAGATGGAGTAGTTTCAATTGTTTCTGTAGCTGCTGTAGTACTTACAATAGTTGTTGTTTCTTCTATTGCTGATGCTGTGTTTGTGCTTGTTTGAACTTCAGATGGTGTAGTTTCAACTGTGTCTGTAACTGCATCAGTACTGGGTAATGTTGTTGTTTCTTCTATTGGTGATGCTGTATTTGTGATTGTTTGAACTTCAAATGGAGTAGTTTCAACTGTGTCTGTAACTGCATCAGTATTGGGTAATGTTGTTGTTTCTTCTATTGGTGATGCTGTGTTTGTGCTTGTTTGAACTTCAGATGGAGTAGTTTCAACAGTGCCTATAGCTGCTGTAGTGCTTACAACAGTTGTTATTTTTTCAATTGGTAATGCTGTGTTTGTGCTTGTTTGAACTTCAGATGGAGTAGTTTCAACTGTTTCTGTAGCTGCTGCAGTACTTACAATAGTTGTTGTTTCTTCTATTGGTGATGCTGTGTTTGTGCTTGTTTGAACTTCAGATGGAGTAGTTTGAACTGTTTCTGTAGCTGCTGAAGTACTTGCAATAGTTGTTGTTTCTTCTATTGGTGATGCTGTATTTGTGGTTGTTTGAACTTCAGATGGAGTAGTTTCAACTGTTTCTGTAGCTGCTGCAGTACTTACAATAGTTGTTGTTTCTTCTATTGGTGATGCTGTATTTGTGGTTGTGTGAACTTCAGATGGAGTAGTTTCAACTGTGTCTGTAGCTGCTGCAGTGCTTACAATAGTTGTTGTTTCTTCTATTTGTGATGCTGTGTTTGTGCTTGTTTGAACTTCAGTTGGAGTAGTTTCAACTGTTTCTGTAGCTGCTGAAGTACTTACAATAGTTGTTGTTTCTTCTATTGGTGATGCTGTGTTTGTGCTTGTTTGAACTTCAGATGGAGTAGTTTTAACAGTGTCTGTAGCTGCTGTAGTGCTTACAATAGTTGTTGTTTCTTCTATTTGTGATGCTGTGTTTGTGCTTGTTTGAACTTCAGATGGAGTAGTTTCAACTGTTTCTGTAGCTGCTGCAGTACTTACAATAGTTGTTGTTTCTTCTATTGCTGATGCTGTGTTTGTGCTTGTTTGAACTTCAGATGGAGTAGTTTCAATTGTTTCTGTAGCTGCTGTAGTACTTACAATAGTTGTTGTTTCTTCTATTGGTGATGCTGTGTTTGTGCTTGTTTGAACTTCAGATGGTGTAGTTTCAACTGTGTCTGTAACTGCATCAGTACTGGGTAATGTTGTTGTTTCTTCTATTGGTGATGCTGTATTTGTGGTTGTTTGAACTTCAAATGGAGTAGTTTCAACTGTGTCTGTAACTGCATCAGTATTGGGTAATGTTGTTGTTTCTTCTATTGGTGATGCTGTGTTTGTGCTTGTTTGAACTTCAGATGGAGTAGTTTCAACAGTGCCTATAGCTGCTGTAGTGCTTACAACAGTTGTTATTTTTTCAATTGGTAATGCTGTGTTTGTGCTTGTTTGAACTTCAGATGGAGTAGTTTCAACTGTTTCTGTAGCTGCTGCAGTACTTACAATAGTTGTTGTTTCTTCTATTGGTGATGCTGTGTTTGTGCTTGTTTGAACTTCAGATGGAGTAGTTTGAACTGTTTCTGTAGCTGCTGAAGTACTTGCAATAGTTGTTGTTTCTTCTATTGGTGATGCTGTATTTGTGATTGTTTGAACTTCAGATGGAGTAGTTTCAACTGTTTCTGTAGCTGCTGCAGTACTTACAATAGTTGTTGTTTCTTTTATTGGTGATGCTGTATTTGTGGTTGTGTGAACTTCAGATGGAGTAGTTTCAACTGTGTCTGTAGCTGCTGCAGTGCTTACAATAGTTGTTGTTTCTTCTATTTGTGATGCTGTGTTTGTGCTTGTTTGAACTTCAGTTGGAGTAGTTTCAACTGTTTCTGTAGCTGCTGAAGTACTTACAATAGTTGTTGTTTCTTCTATTGGTGATGCTGTGTTTGTGCTTGTTTGAACTTCAGATGGAGTAGTTTTAACAGTGTCTGTAGCTGCTGTAGTGCTTACAATAGTTGTTGTTTCTTCTATTTGTGATGCTGTGTTTGTGCTTGTTTGAACTTCAGATGGAGTAGTTTCAACTGTTTCTGTAGCTGCTGCAGTACTTACAATAGTTGTTGTTTCTTCTATTGCTGATGCTGTGTTTGTGCTTGTTTGAACTTCAGATGGAGTAGTTTCAATTGTTTCTGTAGCTGCTGTAGTACTTACAATAGTTGTTGTTTCTTCTATTGGTGATGCTGTGTTTGTGCTTGTTTGAACTTCAGATGGTGTAGTTTCAACTGTGTCTGTAACTGCATCAGTACTGGGTAATGTTGTTGTTTCTTCTATTGGTGATGCTGTATTTGTGGTTGTTTGAACTTCAAATGGAGTAGTTTCAACTGTGTCTGTAACTGCATCAGTATTGGGTAATGTTGTTGTTTCTTCTATTGGTGATGCTGTGTTTGTGCTTGTTTGAACTTCAGATGGAGTAGTTTCAACAGTGCCTATAGCTGCTGTAGTGCTTACAACAGTTGTTATTTTTTCAATTGGTAATGCTGTGTTTGTGCTTGTTTGAACTTCAGATGGAGTAGTTTCAACTGTTTCTGTAGCTGCTGCAGTACTTACAATAGTTGTTGTTTCTTCTATTGGTGATGCTGTGTTTGTGCTTGTTTGAACTTCAGATGGAGTAGTTTGAACTGTTTCTGTAGCTGCTAAAGTACTTGCAATAGTTGTTGTTTCTTCTATTGGTGATGTTGTATTTGTGGTTGTTTGAACTTCAGATGGAGTAGTTTCAACTGTTTCTGTAGCTGCTGCAGTACTTACAATAGTTGTTGTTTCTTCTATTGGTGATGCTGTATTTGTGGTTGTGTGAACTTCAGATGGAGTAGTTTCAACTGTGTCTGTAGCTGCTGCAGTGCTTACAATAGTTGTTGTTTCTTCTATTTGTGATGCTGTGTTTGTGCTTGTTTGAACTTCAGTTGGAGTAGTTTCAACTGTTTCTGTAGCTGCTGAAGTACTTACAATAGTTGTTGTTTCTTCTATTGGTGATGCTGTGTTTGTGCTTGTTTGAACTTCAGATGGAGTAGTTTTAACAGTGTCTGTAGCTGCTGTAGTGCTTACAATAGTTGTTGTTTCTTCTATTTGTGATGCTGTGTTTGTGCTTGTTTGAACTTCAGATGGAGTAGTTTCAACTGTTTCTGTAGCAGCTGCAGTACTTACAATAGTTGTTGTTTCTTCTATTGCTGATGCTGTGTTTGTGCTTGTTTGAACCTCAGATGGAGTAGTTTCAACTGTTTCTGAAGCTGCTGAAGTACTTACAATAGTTGTTGTTTCTTCTATTGGTGATGCTGTGTTTGTGGTTCTTTGAACTTCAGATGGAGTAATTTTAACAGTGTCTATAGCTGCTGTAGTGCTTACAATAGTTGTTGTTTCTTCTATTTGTGATGCTGTGTTTGTGCTTGTTTGAACTTCAGATGGAGTAGTTTCAACTGTTTCTGTAGCTGCTGCAGTACTTACAATAGTTGTTGTTTCTTCTATTGCTGATGCTGCGTTTGTGCTTGTTTGAACTTCAGATGGAGTAGTTTCAACTTTTTCTGTAGCTGCTGAAGTACTTACAATAGTTGTTGTTTCTTCTATTGGTGATGCTGTCTTTGTGGTTGTGTGAACTTCAGATGGAGTAGTTTCAACTGTGTATGTAGCTGCTGCAGTGCTTACAATAGTTGTTGTTTCTTGTATTTGTGATGCTGTGTTTGTGCTTGTTTGAACTTCAGATGGAGTAGTTTCAACTGTTTCTGTAGCTGCTGCAGTACTTACAATAGTTGTTGTTTCTTCTATTGCTGATGCTGCGTTTGTGCTTGTTTGAACTTCAGATGGAGTAGTTTCAACTTTTTCTGTAGCTGCTGAAGTACTTACAATAGTTGTTGTTTCTTCTATTGGTGATGCTGTGTTTGTGCTTGTTTGAACTTCAGATGGAGTAGTTTTAACAGTGTCTATAGCTGCTGTAGTGCTTACAATAGTTGTTGTTTCTTCTATTTGTGATGCTGTGTTTGTGCTTGTTTGAACTTCAGATGGAGTAGTTTCAACTGTTTCTGTAGCTGCTGCAGTACTTACAATAGTTGTTGTTTCTTCTATTGCTGATGCTGCGTTTGTGCTTGTTTGAACTTTAGATGGAGTAGTTTCAACTTTTTCTGTAGCTGCTGAAGTACTTACAATAGTTGTTGTTTCTTCTATTGGTGATGCTGTATTTGTGGTTGTGTGAACTTCAGATGGAGTAGTTTTAACTGTGTCTGTAGCTGCTGCAGTGCTTACAATAGTTGTTGTTTCTTGTATTTGTGATGCTGTGTTTGTGCTTGTTTGAACTTCAGATGGAGTAGTTTCAACTGTTTCTGTAGCTGCTGAAGTACTTACAATAGTTGTTGTTTCTTCTATTGGTGATGCTGTGTTTGTGCTTGTTTGAACTTCAGATGGAGTAGTTTTAACAGTGTCTATAGCTGCTGTAGTGCTTACAATAGTTGTTGTTTCTTCTATTTGTGATGCTGTCTTTGTGCTTGTTTGAACTTCAGATGGAGTAGTTTCAACTGTTTCTGTAGCTGCTGCAGTACTTACAATAGTTGTTGTTTCTTCTATTGCTGATGCTGTGTTTGTGCTTGTTTGAACTTCAGATGGAGTAGTTTCAACTTTTTCTGTAGCTGCTGAAGTTCTTACAATAGTTGTTGTTTCTTCTATTGGTGATGCTGTATTTGTGGTTGTTTGAACTTCAGATGGAGTAGTTTCAACTGTTTCTGTAGCTGCTGCAGTACTTACAATAGTTGTTGTTTCTTCTATTGCTGATGCTGTGTTTGTGCTTGTTTGAACCTCAGATGGAGTAGTTTCAACTGTTTCTGAAGCTGCTGAAGTACTTACATTAGTTGTTGTTTCTTCTATTGGTGATGTTGTATTTGTGGTTGTTTGAACTTCAGATGGAGTAGTTTCAACTGTGTCTGTAGCTGCTGAAGTACTCACAATTGTTGTTGTTTCTTCTATTGGTGATGCTGTGTTTGTGGTTCTTTGAACTTCAGATGGAGTAGTTTCAACTGTGTCTGTAGCTGCTGCAGTGCTTACAATAGTTGTTGTTTCTTCTATTGGTGATGCTGTGTTTGTGCTTGTTTGAACTTCAGATGGAGTAGTTTTAACAGTGTCTATAGCTGCTGTAGTGCTTACAATAGTTGTTGTTTCTTCTAATTGTGATGCTGTGTTTGTGCTTGTTTGAACTTCAGATGGAGTAGTTTCAACAGTGCCTATAGCTGCTGTAGTGCTTACAATAGTTGTTGTTTTTTCAATTGGTGATGCTGTGTTTGTGCTTGTTTGAACTTCAGATGGAGTAGTTTCAACTGTTTCTGTAGCTGCTGCAGTACTTACAATAGTTGTTGTTTCTTCTATTGGTGATGCTGTATTTGTGGTTGTTTGAACTTCAGATGGAGTAGTTTCAACTGTGTCTGTAGCTGCTGCCGTGCTTACAATAGTTGTTGTTTCTTCTATTTGTGATGCTGTGTTTGTGCTTGTTTGAACTTCAGATGGAGTAGTTTCAACTGTTTCTGTAGCTTCTGAAGTACTTACAATAGTTGTTGTTTCTTCTATTGGTGATGCTGTGTTTGCGCTTGTTTGAACTTCAGATGGAGTAGTTTTAACAGTGTCTATAGCTGCTGTAGTGCTTACAATAGTTGTTGTTTCTTCTAATTGTGATGCTGTGTTTGTGCTTGTTTGATTTTCAGATGGAGTAGTTTCAACTGTTTCTGTAGCTGCTGCAGTACTTACAATAGTTGTTGTTTCTTCTATTGCTGATGCTGCGTTTGCGCTTGTTTGAACTTCAGATGGAGTAGTTTCAATTGTTTCTGTAGCTGCTGAAGTACTTACAATAGTTGTTGTTTCTTCTATTGTTGATGCTGTATTTGTGGTTGTTTGAACTTCAGATAGAGTAGTTTCAACTGTGTCTGTAGCTGCTGCAGTGCTTACAATAGTTGTTGTTTCTTCTATTTGTGATGCTGTATTTGTGGTTGTTTGAACTTCAGATGGAGTAGTTTCAACTGTTTCTGTAGCTGCTGCAGTAATTACAATAGTTGTTGTTTCCTCTATTGCTGATGCTGTGTTTGTGCTTTTTTGAACTTTAGATGGAGTAGTTTTAACTGGTTCTGTAGCTGCTGAAGTTCTTACAATAGTTGTTGTTTCTTCTATTGGTGATGCTCTATTTGTGGTTGTTTGAACTTCAGTTGGAGTAGTTTCAAATGTGTCTGTAGCTGCTGCAGTGCTTACAATAGTTGTTGTTTCTTCTATTTGTGATGCTGTGTTTGTGCTTGTTTGAACTTCAGATGGAGTAGTTTCAACTGTTTCTGTAGCTGCTGAAGTACTTACAATAGTTGTTTTTTCTTCTATTGGTGATGCTGTATTTGTGGTTATTTCAACTTCAGATGGAGTAGTTTCAACTGTGTCTGTTGCTGCTGTACTTACGATAGTTGTTGTTTCTTCTATTGGTGATGCTGTATTTGTGGTTGTTTGAACTTCAGATGGAGTAGTTTCAACTGTTTCTGTAGCTGCTGCAGTAATTACAATAGTTGTTGTTTCTTCTATTGCTGATGCTGTGTTTGTGCTTTTTTGAACTTTAGATGGAGTAGTTTCAAATGTGTCTGTAGCTGCTGCAGTGCTTACAATAGTTGTTGTTTCTTCTATTTGTGATGCTGTGTTTGTGCTTGTTTGAACTTCAGATGGAGTAGTTTCAACTGTTTCTGTAGCTGCTGAAGTACTTACAATAGTTGTTGTTTCTTCTATTGGTGATGCTGTATTTGTGGTTGTTTGAATATCAGATGGAGTAGTTTCAACTGTTTCTGTAGCTGCTGCAGTACTTACGATAGTTGTTGTTTCTTCTATTGGTGATGCTGTATTTGTGGTTGTTTGAACTTCAGATGGAGTAGTTTCAGCTGTGTCTGTAGCTGCTGCAGTGCTTACAGTAGTTGTTGATTCTTCTATTTGTGATGCTGTGTTTGTGCTTGTTTGAACTTCAGATGGAGTAGTTTCAATTGTTTCTGTAGCTGCTGTAGTACTTACAATAGTTGTTGTTTCTTCTATTGGTGATGCTGTGTTTGTGCTTGTTTGAACTTCAGATGGTGTAGTTTCAACTGTGTCTGTAACTGCATCAGTACTGGGTAATGTTGTTGTTTCTTCTATTGGTGATGCTGTGTTTGTGCTTGTTTGAACTTCAGAAGGAGTAGTTTTAACAGTGCCTATAGCTGCTGTAGTGCTTACAATAGTTGTTTTTTTTTCAATTGGTGATGCTGTGTTTGTGATTTTTTGAACTTCAGATGGAGTAGTTTTAACTGTGTCTTTAACTGCATTAGTCCTGGGTAATGTGGTTGTTTCTTTTATTGGTGATGCTTTATTTGTGGTTGTTTGAACTTCAAATGGAGTAGTTTTAACTGTGTCTGTAACTGCATCAGTACTGAGTAATGTTGTTGTTTCTTCTATTGGTGATGCTGTGTTTGTGCTTGTTTGAACTATAGATGGAGTAGTTTCAACTGTGTCTGTAGCTGCTGCAGTACTTACAATAGTTGTTGTTTCTTCTAATGGTGATGTTTTATTTGTGGTTGTTTGAACTTCAGATGGAGTAGTTTCAACTGTTTCTGTAGCTGCTGCAATACTTACAATAATTGTTGTTTCTTTTATTGGTGATGCTGTGTTTGTGTCTGTTTTAACTTTAGATGGAGTACTTTCAATTGTGTCTTTTACTGCATCAGTACTGGGTAATGTTGTTATTTCTTTTATTGGTGATGCTATGTTTGTGCTTGTTTGAACTTTATTTGGAGTAGTTTCAACTGTGTCTGTAACTGCGTCAGTACTGGGTAATGTGGTTGTTTCTTCTATTGGTGATACTGTGTTTGTGCTTGTTTGAACTTCAGATGGAGTAGTTTTAAGTGTGTCTGTAGCTGCTACAGTGTTTACAATAGTTGTTGTTTCTTCTATTGGTGATGCTTCGTTTGTGTTTATTTGTGTTTTAGATGTTGTTGTTTTTAATGTTCCGGTTATTGGTTGATTTGTTTCCTGATTTGTTTTTTTAATGGAAATGGAAGTGTTTATTTCATTTAAAGTTGTTTCAAGCGATAGTTGTCCTTTATTAATTTCATTTGACAATGAAATATTTGAAATTAAATTTACTTCTCTAATTGGAATAATTAATTGAGTTGTTTGAAGAGATATGAGTCCTGTAAACATAAATTTATTTTTTTGATAATAATGGATCACATATACGTCATAACTATAGTTTTTCAAGACTATATAATAGTTAACTTTTAGGTTTTTAAAACTTATTATGGAATTAATTATTTTGTTTAATTTTGCCATGATGAAAATTATCTTATACTAATTTTCTTTTATATGAACATAAGTTATTTTTGATTATTTTTAATGTTTATGGTTTAATCAATTGTTTTAACTGATCGTATATTTTATTTGTAGCTTTAGATTATTATAATTAATTGTTTATAAACTTTTTTTGAAAATTATGTTGTTCATCTCATAAGATCTTATTTAAATATAAGTAAGCCTGTTTGTGTTTGTGGTTATGTGTATTTATCTCTGATATCAAAGTGTGTCTGATCTAGTATGAGTTTGTTATTTTGTGTTCATGTCACTGATATTAAAATGTTTTTAGCTCTTTTATGTCAATGTTATTTGTTGACTTTATTTATTTTTTTATTGTGTTAATTGTGTCATTGTTATCGTGTGTCACTGACAATAAAGTATTTTAAATTTATTAAAATTGATTTATTTTTTGATTTCTTAAAACTTATTATTATTTTTTTTTTAAGCAATTTGTTTTATTAAAAATGAATATGAAAATGTTAAAATGTAAGGTTTTTGGTTTAATTTAGTTTTAAATTAAAAAAATTTCTTCATTATTTTGGTCACCAACTTTGATTATTATTTTCGTTAAGCCTAACTGTCATTTCTAATTTAAGTAAATTTAAATTAATTAATCTAATTGTTTCATAGTTCTTCAAAATAATTTATTTATTTTTCATATATTAAAAAAAAAGATTTTATTACTATTTTATTGTAATCTGATGATGTGATATATAAATGATGATGATCCAATAAATTTTATATATTTCATGGGTTTTGATATGAATTGTTCAACATAATGGTTTTTGTTTTCAAGAAATGTCAAAAATAATCAAAAAAGGTTTGAAGTTTAAATTATTTTTTGAAGTATTTTCTTTTTATTTCAGGTTTAAAAAAAAAAATCCATATGTTGAAGAACAGAATTAGTGTTAAGATGAATTAGTCAATGTTTAAACAAGAGGGTTCCTTCTTTTATGCATTTTTGTGTTTTATCTTTTAAACTGAGTTTTTTTTTTTTAATATCTTTTAATTTTAAAATAGTTTTTATCATGGCTTTAGTTTCTATGTTTATACTTTCTTTCTATTAGCAGTTACTCCAATGTCATCTAGTCAATATTTTACAATTTGTAAACACAAGCTTGTTAAGTATAGATTTATTTTTAGGTGGCTAAGCATGTTGCTGGAGGCGTGTGTTTGATTTGCAAAGAACCAATTATTATTAATATAACACGTAGTTATGAATCATCTGCCAATCATCATCATAGTTATGAATCATCTGTCGATGTCAAGTTAAATGAATAAGCGCTATTAAAGTAATGCTGGAAAATAAAATTAAAAAAATTTTTATGTGGTCATTGTGTACACTGATAATACATTGCTGTTTGGCCTCGAAAACTTTTAATTACATCAACAAATATAGTTGTGGCTGATGATATTTTGATGTGTCATCAGCTATATCTTATGTCTTGATGTAGTTTTATGATTTTGTATCGTTGGAGATAAAGCCTGCACAGTGATTTCAGGAGCATCGAAGAATTAAATTATACAATCAGCAAGTTTAAAGAACACCTATTGTTTGTGCATATTTGTATAGTCAATATGTGATACCATTTCTTCAACTGAATCCAACTTAAAACTTTTAAAAAAATCACATGACATCCAAAAGGTATATTTATTGATGACCAACTTATTTACTTAACTAAGGGATTTAAAAGTATTTACAGTCGTGTGCAAATTAAAGTGTTAATAAAAATAAGTTTCATATATTTTTTATTTTATGCTATATATTTAAATAATCTATAAACACCATGCACATAAGGTAATTGCTGTAAATACTACGGTAACTACCTAATTACTGTTGCAAATATATTTAGCTCTGGTTAATGTAATTCTGGACTGCTTCTCAGGAAGCATTTTTAGGTATCATTAAACCTATCCTAATCATTGAACGTAATCTAAGTTACTACCAACTGAAAAGGTGGTAAATTTGCAAAGTTAGTTATCCATCTTTATGTAATTGAATGAAGTTCACTTGATAAGCGTTTAAATGTAAATCACAACTGATTATGACGCACCACTTAAATCTTTTTAGTGTAACATAATCCAATTGTAAAAATTGCCAAGAAACTGAGGTGGTTTGCTAAAGTGCGTTGCAATCTGTGGTGATTGTCAAGGCAAAAAGTGTTACAACAAAAAGGTGATTTTTTTTAATAACTAAAATATTAGGTTTTGTGCAATTTAAAAATATTTTGATTTTTATTTAAGGATGGAACTTCCCGCTAATTTAAAAGGGTCAAAAAAGACTTTTAAGGTTTGCATCCTCTAGTGGCACAACTCCCCCATCCCCTCAATTGCAGGAATTCTCTAGGTTTAAAATCTATTTTTTATTTAATTTAATTTCAGTGGACTAATAATGCTAATTTTTTTTTTAATTGCTTTGATTCGCATTAATTTAATCTCTTAAATATTCATTTTTAGACCATGGCTCTTATTAAAATATGAATCAGCATTAATTTATCATTCTAATAATATATGAAAATTTTATTTTGTAAAAAGTATTATTTTTGATCCTAAAAATTATTACCACCTTAAAGTTACCACCTTAAAATTACCATCTTAAAATAGGTTTTAAAGTGCAATTTCAGGTGTACAATTTATAGTAAATTTAAATGATCTAAAGATAACAGTTTTGAAGAAGATCAAAACTATTGTAACTTTTCTGTGCTTGTCAATAGAGATGTTAATTACAAACCCTTATAATAGGAATCAGATTCTTTTAGAAAATAATAGCCAGATTTTTTTAAATATTACTAATTTCAGTAATAACTTAAATACAATAGAAAATAACCAAACAGGATATTTCAAAACTATTCTATTTTGCAGTCAACAGTTTGACGTGTGATATCTTTTTGGAGTTTGTTCAAAATTTCTAAAAACTATTAAAAACTATTTTAATGCGAAGAATCTAATAATGATGTTGCTGCATTGTAAATTTTTTTTAGATAACAACAGATCTGATCAGTTTTGTTCAGAAATTATTCTGAAAAATCGTATGAGTGTTCGAGAAATTTGACTAATTATGCTGTTGGTAACGGTAATTAAATAATAATATTTTTAACGTCTTTAATTAAAGAATGTTAAAAAAAAAAAATCTTTTTGTTTTTCCATTGTTATACGAGCCAACTAGCCCCATAAAATATTTATCTAACCCCCCGTTAAAAAAAATGATCTAACACCAAGTCCTTTTTAATTGTTTAACTCTAATTTCCTTTTTCTTCAAAAACAACCTATAAATCCTGAAAAACGGTAACTATTAAAAAAAAAATTGGTTAGAATGAAAAAATTACTATAAAATAGCTGCGAAACGAGCTAAAAACTCTCGATATGTTGGCAGACATACGTTATTTGCTAAATATATATCTATAATAATGTATAAAAAGGTGATTTCGTCCCTATATGTCCGTATATACACTTTTATATACGGACTTTAAACGCTGTTCAAAGTATTTTCGAACGTCTTAAGTCTGTCCAAATTCTTTAACAAACTTTGGACAGTTAGACGGACTTTTGACAGTGTCCAAATTCCGTCTACGAAAGTCCGTACTTTTTTAAAAATACTACTAAACCTCAACTAGCATTTTTAAAAAGTTTTTAAACTTTGAAAATCAAGAAATATAAAGAAGGATAAAATTTTAAAAGAAAGTTTAATCATTATAGTTTGACAAAAAAAAAAAAGTATGTTGCTTAAAAAAAGTACAATAGTTGTTAAATAAACCTAAATAGAGTGAAAACTATTCGAAATCTCTCCGGTCTCCCTATTTCCGGTCTCTCCGGTCTCCTTTATTTCCGGTCTCTCCGGTCTCCCCTATTTAATAATTAGAATAACTTTTATTAAACAATTGTTTTAAAAAGCTTAGAAATAACTTGTTTTAAATAAATTAATAAAAGAAATTGTTTTTAGAGCACTTAACTTGTGTTGGTCGTGATCACATGCTAGTAAAAGTTGTTTAATATATTTCGTTTTTGCTATAAAGCAAGTTTTAAATAATGTTAAACCAAACCAAAATCAATCTGAAAAAATTATTAAACTTGATTTTTGAAAAAAAATTAGGAACGTTACAACGTCAACACAACTTAGTGTGCCAACTGATCGGCCTGTAAAAAAGTATAGCCGTTTTTTGTAAAACCCTTAAATTGCTTTTATCTATAAAAGGAATTTATGGTAGTTAACAATATTTTTATGTACTTTTGATATCTATATAATAAAAATATTGTAAACTGCTTTCCCACTTCCATAAAAAGATTTTGAATTTGTAACATCTTTTTATGTCTAAAATGCTATTTCCGTATAGCAGCGCTAAGTGCTACTGATGACACTTGACAACCCTATGGGTTTTAAGCCTCTAATATACAATGTGCTTCGTAAATTACTTTAACTTTAAGATAAAACAGTAATTTTGAATTTAATTTAATTGTAATTTGATTATGAAAAAACGTGGTTTTGGTTATTGTTTAGTTTAGTAACAGTAATGTTCAATATCAAGAAATAAAAAATAGTTATAAAGTGCAAAGTAAAAAGTTTATGTTTGTCTTTAAAAATATAAAGTAAATTACCTGAACACAAATTCAAAGCAAGCAGTATAAAAATCATTTTTTTTTTTTAATCTTTTAACCTTATAATTTTTTCCTCTTGGAGTTTAAGTTGTTCAAAAGTGGTTGATCTTTCTAAACTTAAATTTAGTAATGAGGGAAAAGTATACTTCTATTTATACACGTGTTTCCGAAATTTTTTAATTGGCGCTGTGTTTTAACTTCGCAAAACATAATAAATGAATGACAGGAGTGCATAATGCTTTTTTTTTGCTGAGTTAATAATTGTGTCAGTGATAATGAGGTAATAATTGAAGATTATAATAATAATAATGGAGACATATATATTAATAGAGGTACTTATAAAAAGTAGCAATAATGAGGTAGTAATTGTGATATAAATAACTTAAACAAAAGTATGACAAATATATATAAAAAAGTAGAGTAGTTCTGGAAAATCATTTATATCATTCTTTAGATATTTATATAAATATATAAAATATACTAATATAACTATACGTTTATATTCAAATATAATATATTTTATATATAATACATATACTTTTACATCAAATTAAAAGGTTGAGTCTTATAATACATATTAGAATTGATATCTTATACTTATTTATTTCTTAAGTAATAGTTTTGATATTTAAAGTTATGAGTTATATATACCCAGCAAACATTTTTTTAGTGTATTTACAGTGAACCTGTATAGGCTTTTGACCTATGAGCAAAACTACAGTGAATACAATGTGAATACTACAATATATATATACATATATATATATATATATATATATATATATATATATATATATATATATATATATATATATATATATATATATATATATATATATATATATATATATATATATATATATATATATATATATATATATATATATATATATATATATTGTAGGTCGAAAACTATATTTTTTTTTAAGTTGGAAACCTGTAACATGTGCAGAATATTGTTCCTTTGTGTCCTGATTTAGATGATATGAACTTTTATGGAGTGAAAAATGTGTTTTGCCTCAAATTTTAATTGAATAATTATAAGTTCCCTAACATTAAAAGTGAGTGTAAATGACATTATCTCAAAAAAAGTTTTTGTAAAGTATTTGTTATTACATTTTTAAAGTCATGTGCATTTTCAAAAGAAGCAAAATGAAATAAGAATTTGAAAAAATAATTCTGCAAAAATTTTTTTTTAAACAGAGCGTTTATTCGAACGTTTTTAGCAATAGACTATATTTGATTATAGTCTACTCGCACGTTAAATAAAAAAGAAGGAAATCTTCCAATTTAATGAAAATTAAAAACACTAAGATTTGTTAAATTTAATGTTTAAATCTGAATGTAACAGTAGAGCGTAAATTTGTTTTTTTTTATGTTGATTTTTAGGTGCCCCAAGAAGTCTTTACGGTCTTATCACAGAACACCGCGGAAGAGCATTTAATAGGAAGTTCACGCCTCCTTCGCAACCGATGTCGCAAAACTTGCCCAGAGGTGGGTTTGAACTACGGATCTTACGTTTCTGAGGCAAATGTGCTACCACTGCGCCACGGATGCTATTGTTGACTGACTATTTAGGAATAGACCCAGAGTAGTGTATATATAGGTGTAGTTCACTATATATGGATAAGCACAGTGGATTATAATAACATCAACAAGGGATTTGGCTCGGACAGGGTTTTAATTAAAAACATTCTTTTAACTAAAAGAAAAGTACTTCTCAGAGTTTATTTTATCTTGTGGCACGTTGTTATTATTATTATTATTATTGTTACTGTTATTATTGATTACTTCGAGAATGAAAATTTATACTGAAGTAATAAGTTTTTATTATTACTTTAGATTAAATTGCTTTCAAAACAAATTACTTAAATTATAATTTATAATTTTACGTTAACTTTCATTATAAAGAAATGCAACTTTAAATTTTTAACGTGCGAATAGACTATAATTAGATATTGCCTATTAGCATGTGCTGCGACTAGACCCTTAAAAAATTGAAAAACAATTGGCATTTTCTAGATTAGCTAAATAAAAGAATAAACTTTTTATAAAATAAAATCTAAAATGTGCTTTTTTAAGGTTTGTAACTTCCTGAATTACAACATTTAAGAGTAATATATATATATATATATAATATATATATATATATATATATATATATATATATATACACATATATATGCAGACAAATACACGCACACCAGATATATTTTTTTAATTTATTATAATCGCATTTATTTATTTTGCTACAGATTATAAGCATGAGCACTATCACGGGAATAGCATTTAATGTGAAGGACTGGCTTAACCATTCTTACCAATGATGCTTTTATATACTATATATGATGTTCAGACCAGAATCTAAAATCAACGCTTAAATCACTTCAGCAAAAACGCTAATTAGTATACCAACAAAAAACTGAAAGTACTCGTTCCTATTTCGGCACCATACAGACAAAATGTTTTGACACGGGTTGTTCTGGAGAAAAAGCAGAAAACACTTGTTTGTTTCTTAGTATTTCGTTTTCTTAAAAGTATACACAAAGATAGCGATTCTCTTAGAAGTAATGGGCGTAAACAAAAAACGTGAAAAAAAAATTAGAAATAATTTAATGGTTGTAATTACTTGACAGCTAGTAATTGAAAATGTATATAAGTTAGTGGCAAGGCAACGGTAGCCAAAAAAAATTAATAATTTCTCATCCAGCGCAGAAACAAGCTTTTTAATTTCTAGCTCTAAGGTATGCTTACTCAGCTATTACTGAACCTTTTTGTAAATTTTACTTCCAAACAACAAATGTAAATTTCCACTTGCCAGCTGATTTCTATATTTTTAAAAGGAAAAAATTTAACTGCATTTTTGCCAGCTATACTGACTTATTACGTCACTAATTATGCATGCAGCATCATTGTCAGTATTTGAACAATCTAACATGAGTCAGTTATGACTCATGTGTAATTTTATTTGCCACAAAAATGTACCCTAAAATAATTTAATTTTGGAATAAAATTTATTTAGATAAAAAAAATCTAATTTAAAATCTATGTGTTTAGGGTTCTTTGATGTGTTAAGGATTCTTCGGATTTTCAAATGAATGATAAATTATTTGTGTTATAACTTTTTCCTTTCCATGAATACATATATGTATATATGTATATATATATATATATATATATATATATATATATATATATATATATATATATATATATATATATATATATATATATATATATATATATATATATATATATATATATATATATATATATATATATATATATTAAATTTCGATTATCTTTTTTTTCCATTAACATTTAAAATTTTTTTAAAATTTATTTTCTTTTTTATTGCTTGTAGATATAAAAAGAAATACCCAAATAAGTTAAAATAAAGCATAGTTTTTCTGCATTTTGTATAACTTTTAAAAGTATTAGGCTTATCTAACTGAGCAGTCATTTATTTAATCCAATGATGGTTTAACACATTATTGTTTGGCAACAACACACTTATTATCGTAAGGAAACAAGTTATAGTTAACCGTATGTTGGCGTAGCATCGACACATGATTAATCGATTGATTCGTGCAAGTTTCACTTAACTGTTGTAT